TCACCCGAGGTCCCCGGGACCTCAACCAAACACACCAACAAGTCTTATATCCCAATACGAACTTAGTTGAACTCTCAAATCACCTCAAACAACTTCAAAAATACGAACTACACACGGATTCAAGCCTAATGAACTTCGAAATTTCCAAAAATTCTACAAATGACGTCGAAACCTATCAAATCACGTCCGATTGACCTCAAGTTTTGCACACAAGTCACATTTGATATAACAAAGCTATTCAAATTTCCAGAATCAGATTTTGACCCCGATATCATAAAGTCAACCCCCCAGTCAAGCTTCCCAAAAATTTAGCTTTCGCCATTTCAAGCCTAATTCCACTACGGACCTACAAATAATTTTTCGAACATGCTCCTAAGTCCAAAATCACCATACGGAGATACTGGAATTATCAGAATTTGAATCTGAGGTCGTTTATATATAGATCAACATCTGATCGACTTTTCCAACTTAAGCTTTCCATTTAAGAGACTAAGTGTCTCATTTCACTCTAAATTCTCTCCGGACTTGAACTAACTAACTCGATAAGTCATACAACAGCTATAAAGTACAAACGGAGCAGTAAATGGGAGAACGGGGCTGTAATACTCTAAATGACCGGCCGGGTCGTCACAGATCTTAAGCTCAAATTTTTCATGAAATTTGGACAGATAAATGATTGGCCAAATGAAAAATACGCAATAAAAATTGACTTCACCTGAAAATATGAAGTTAGACGGATAATCCTAACACCTGAAAGTATAAAGCCAGTTGATGTATAAATATGTTTTGTGCGGGAAAAAAAAGTCAAGTCGATAGACATAAACACGACTTGTGTCACAAGAAGATTTTAAATATCTTGGCATTGATAGAGACATGTTCTCCTGTGGTGGATGTAGTTATTTCAGATTTTAATCTGGCAATACATGAAAAACTTAATATGCGTATAATGAAAATTATTTAAGGATTTAAATTGTTCTGAAGCATATTAAGGTTTCCAAGAAATTTATTAAATAAAGCTTCAAAAATCCTTATACGAATTGAAACAATCAGGGCGCATGTGGTATAATCGCCTAAGTGAGTATCTTTTGAAAGAAGGGTACAAGAATGATTCAATTTGTCCTTGTGTCTTTATAAAAGGATCTGGATCTAAATTTATTATAATCACCGTGTATGTTGATGATTTAAATATCATTGGAACTCCTAGGGAGCTTCCTAAAGCAGTAGAGCTTCATAAAGCAGTAGACTATATAAAGAAAGAATTTGAAATGAAAGATCTTGCAAAGACAAAATTTTGTCTTGGTCTACAAATTGAGTATATGAAAGATGGAATTTATGTCCATCAATCAGCATATACTAAAAAGATTTTAAAGCGATTCTATATGGATAAAGCACATCCATTTCGACCTCATGAATATAATGAAGAGCTTCTTGGTCCCGAAGTACCATATCTTAATACAATTTGTGCACTAATGTAGCTTTCTAACATTACAAGGTCTGACATAACTTTTTCAGTTAATGTCTTAACATGGGATTATTTTATGGCAATGATTGCAGTCTCGATCTTGTTAGTTATGCCGATCCTAGGTATTTATCCGACCCACACAAGGCTCGATCTCAAATAGGCTATGTGTTTACATATGGAGGCATTGCCATATCTTGTCGATCGACCAAGCAATCAATCGTGGCTACTTCATCTAATCATGCTGAGATAATTGCTATTCATGAAGCAAGTCGAGAATGTGTATGGTTGAAGTATATAATACAATTCGAAACAAATGTGGTTTGAAGTGTGACAAACTACCCACAATTTTGTATGAAGACAATGGAGCATGCATAGCCTAGTTGAAGGGAGGATTCATTAAAGGGGATAGGACAAAGCAAATTTCACCAAAGTTATTTTTCACACATGATCTTCAAAACAATGGTGATATTAATGTGCAACGGATTCGTTCAAGTAATAATATGGTTGATCTGTTCACCAAATCTCTACCGACGTCAACCTTCAAGAAACTAGTGTACAAGATTGGGATGCGAAGGCTCAAGAATATGAATTGATGCTCTCATCAGAGGGAGTTAATACGCATTGTACTCTTTTTTTCCTTACAAGATTTTGTCCCACTGGGTTTTTCTTGTAAGGTTTTTAACGAGGCAATCAAAAGGCGTATTTCTAAACATATGTACTCTTTTTCCTTCACTAGTATTTGCTTCCCATAGGGTTTTTTCTTAATAAGGTTTTAACGAGGCACAATATCTATGGACATCCAATGGAGGTGTTATAAGAAAAAATAAATTATGGTGGATGTCTACTCTTCCTCCATGATCTTCTCAAATGTTTAATGACATATTTCTATGCTTAATGACATATTCCTATGCTTAATGACATATTCAATGACATATTTTTCTTCATTTTTCATGCTTATATAAAGGCCTTGTAATAGATAAGAAAATACACACAATTGAAGAAGAAATACTCTTCCTTCTCTCTATCTCCATTTTTTGTTCATGTTTTACTAAATTGCTTTTATTTCATAACACGTTCTTGTTCATGTTTTACTAAATTGCTTTTATTTCATAACAGTAATATTGAATTGTCTAATTGTTGTTTTGAAAGTAGGTAAACTTTATGTCTACAAGTTGACCAATGATTGTGTGATGATCAGGGGCGGAGCCACAATGTTATTTGCGGGTTCGGCCGAACCCAATAGCTTTTGTTCAAATCATATATTTGTATTAAAAAATTCAATAAATATGTACAAAATATTAATTTAGAACTCAATAACTTAAAAAGATTATAATCTTGAACCCATAAGGTTCAAATCCTAGCTTCGTCTCTACTTATGATTATACCACAATCTGTTATTTGACATTTGATTAACGAAACAACTATAGCAGATAGGTGTGGAATTAATAAGTAAATTGAAATTTAAAAGAAGGAAAAAAGATTTACTCCAAAGTAATCAGTACTGCATCATAGAACTTTAAGAACTCAAAAAAAAAACAAGATGCAAAATACTTTCTTATAACAATCATTCATTATAAAAGTTAATTCTTTTTAGAAATTAATTTTTTATATTATATTTTATCTTTCTATTAAAATTTTTTGTCTATAATAGCAACAATCATCTTTATAACAGTACGCTCTTTAATTTATAAAATTACCTCTCTATAATAACCATATAAATCTCTAAGATTACCAATAATAAGCTTATAATTTTTTATCAAGTATTTTAAAATCTTGGTGCACCACGTATGATGAGGAATATTACGTTTCTTCCATAATTAAAGATTTCGCTCAATTTCATAAAAGATATCATTGTAAAGTGAAACATATAGGTCATGGGTTCAAGCCGTGGGATCAATCAGTGATGCTTGCATCAGGATACGCTACCTACATGGCTACATCACACCCCTTGAGGTATAACTTATTTCGGGATCCTGCGCGAATGCGGGGTACTTTATGCATCGGGTTGCCCTTTATATTATTGTATATTTTTATTCCATTGCACAAAATTCAAATCTTTAAAAAAAGAAATAAAGAATTGGAACTCTACTATTTTGGCTAAAAAAGAAATGCAAAGTTGAGAAAAAAAATTGTCTTGTATATTCAGAAGAAACTTGAAACAAATAAATCATTATATGTGATTTCGTAACAATTAATAGTTGAAAAATACTCCTATTAGAAGATTATTTTTCAAATTTTCGCTCTCGCACCTAAATGAACATGTATTTAGGGGGATCAAAGCTATCAAACTGCTAATTAGGACCAAATATAGTTCACATATATAAGAGAATAAACTTATACCCTTTAAAAATGCATTGGGATTTTTGCTACTGCTGCTGTGGATATTTAGGAATGATGACCATTAGGGGTGTTCATGGTTCGGTTTGGATCGATTTTTTCCTAAAAAAAAAATAAACCAAGTAAGTCAGTTTTTCAAATATTGGAACCAAACCAAACCAATTAAGTCGTTTTTTTATCGATTCGATTTTTGTCGGTTTTCCGATTTTTTCGGTTATTTGTCGGATTTTTCTTAAATATGAGACATACAATACAAAACGCATATTCAGGCGATTACATTTTCAACGTAACGCTATCAAACCAATTGCTCTTTGAGAAATCTATCATTTACTAAGATATATTGATGATAATTGACTCAAATAGTGATGAAAAACTTAAGTACTCAATTAAAAATCGATTATTTTTAACATGAAATAAATTTTTGTACTTAGTAAANTCCGCCCCCAAACCGATAAACCGTTAATAATAAAATTTCAATCCGTTTCCCATCCGTTAAACCGATAACCCGATACCAATAAATCATTAAGCCATTTTTATGGTTTGATTTTCGGTTTCGGCTAGGTTTTGAACACCCTAGTCGGTCGTCTCTATCTGTATGTACACATTTTTAACCTACCCAAAGTACAAGATTTTTTTTATTCCATATTTCCACAGGAACTAACAATCACATACCATCGCATTTGGATGTACATCATATGAGTCAACACTCAACAATCACCACTCAACTCCCACTTCGGGACAAGCCTACATTCTCCAGTGTGTCAAACTTGAGAGAGCAGACAGCTAATGTCTTTATCTTATTGCTGCCTGCCAACTAAGGAAAGCTCCCTCAAATAATTTACTAACTGTTTTTCCAGATAGTACATGTTAATCCGGTCAAGTGCCAAAATGTTCGAGGGATCTTTACACAAATAGCCGGTCATATTTATTGTTTATTTTTTTTTTAATCATATGCATAGATTATACATTTATTATACACAATTATACACATATATTAATAGATAAATTATGCACACAATACCTCCACTAACTATTTTTAATTTAAACGATTAAGTGGACGGCTATTTAGGTTAATTCTTCAATGTTGTTCAATCCCCACCTATCTCTAGTCATCACATCCAGAAAAAAAACTGGCAACAGCCCAAAATAATTCAACCTCCTTCCCTGTATTTAAAACAAAAACTAACAAAAATTGTACGAAGGCAGACCAAAAATGGCAGCAGCTCCCAGCCAGTATCATAACGCATAAACGGATTACAGAAGGTGCAACAGGATAAGAAGAAACATACAAAATGAAAGAAGGAACAATCTGATAACAATTGTTACTTCGTACCAGCCCCAAAAGCTACTCATGACACAAGTTCCACGCGCAAACACCACAAAATAAGACCAAAACCACATAATGTCTACAGGATGACAAGCCTTTTAAAATAGAATTTGACAACAGACAAATATCATATCTTAGCCAGGACCCTGTCCCAACAAATATTAACATTTCTCTTCAACAAAAGTAAAGAGAACATCCAATGCTGTACTAGAGAACTTTATTTAGTTGGCACGGCTTTTGAAGACATCCAAACCCATCTCAGTTGGATCAGTTGCTTGCAGCTCAATCTGAATCCCATCCAATTCCCTCTTAAATCTATCCTTGGAACTAGCATAGATCATTTTGCTTCTAACCTTAGAGGTATCAGGAGACCTATGCAAAACACACAGTAACAATAACAAATATCAATAGTTAGTGCGCAACATCCAAAAACAAGCAATAAAAGTATATTTTTTGGGACAATTACAAGCAATAAAAGGATATAAATTCTTGATTAAAATTAGAATAATGCTAATCATTCAGCATTACCATGCAATGAAGAAAATCCTGCTCTTTGGAACACTCTCCTTTGTCAGAAAGTCAAAATCATAGACAGCGTAACGACACTCATCTGCAGGCAGGTGTGTACAGAAGTCCTCATAACTTTCAGCCGGCTCACCAAGCTTTTCCACAATGACTTGCTTTTGCTTTTCCTCAATCTTGAATACAATGAAGCGATAAGCCCTTTTAGTTTTCAACTCCAAAAATTTCAGTTTGCAATCGTCGTGCACAGCCATGCCCGATGCAGAGTTAGCCTACAAAGAAAATCCGAGGTCAATCAATTGATGAGTTTCTTCATAATAATACAACAAACCAGAGGCACGTCAATTCTACAGATACTAAAACATAAAAACAAAAATTAAAACAAACACCCAATACATGTGACTCAACCTACGTCAAAGCATAACGGGTGGTCTAATAGCCTGTTTGGCCAAGCTTCTCCAGCCCAAAAGCACTTTTTTTTTAAAAATACTTTTTTTTTTTTAATGTTGAAGTGTTTGGCCAAGCTTTTAGAAGGAAAAAAGTACTTCTGAGTAGAAGAGTAAGCAGTTTTGGAGAAGCAGAAAAAAGCAGTTTCTCTACGGAAGCACTTTTGAGAAAAATACACTTAGAAGCACTTTTTTATTGCTTGGCCAACTGCTCAGAAATGCTTTTCAAATTAATTAGCCAAACACAAACTGCTTCTCACTAAAAGTACTTTTGAGAAAAGCTCTTTTAAGAAAATGCACTTATCATAATAAGCTGATTTTAGAAGCTTGGCCAAACAGGCTATAAGATAGGTTGAGAACCAGTATAAAGATAGTCGTCTATGATGAATCCTCTAAATTCTAAATGGCCTGAACAAAGCCATTTATGATGAATCCTCTAAATTCTAAATGGCCTGAACAAAGCCGAATGGATATAAAGGATTCATATTTTGGCCCCAATTAATTTAGTAATGGCATTGATTGATTTACCCAATATAAAAGAACACGTTTTATAATTAACATTCACACCTATTCTGTTCATGATATTGACACCAAAGAATGAAAAAGAAAAATGAGGAAACCGAAAAAGTAAAATGCACAACAGATTTAAATTAAAATGTTTTAAATGAACAGGAAATACAGCTTTTATTTCTACGCATATCCGATAAATGCATATGCACTAGCTAATGTAAGACATCAAAGCCGTGAAGTTTTTCCTTTCTTGAAAATGAACAGGGACAACTTTTCAATTTTGGAATAAAGAAGCAATAATGTCTGGGGGATATAATAGAATGGACTATTATCTCAGGTTGCTGCAAAATCATCTGGTTCGTAACTAAAATCACTTAGCAGCTACAATGAAATCCGTTATTTCTTAGGGGCAGTTCACAATTTAGTGGGACTGATGGTGAGCACAAGCAAATTTAACTAGCTGTTCTTCAAGTTGGATACCACACTTCAACCAAAATTGAAGATGAAGGACTCCTTTTTACCCACTCTGAGATGACAGTCAAACACAACTTTGCTAAAAAATACTGTGAACAAGATACACAGTTTGTATCCTGGTTTTACAATACAAAACAGGCCAATTGAATCACGAACCAAAGCATTGATTCAACTTCTGCAAATAATTCCCTGCTTAACAAAAACACATCCCCGAAAAACACATTTTCTTGATCTTAATCACAAAACTATAAACACATCAACCTTCCATGGCTGCACCAAGAGAACATTCCACTCTCTACCTTTGCCTATTGTCTTGTATAAGACACAATTTTCCAATTATAATTATCTTACTAGTATTTTTCTTGTTGGAAACCCAAATAGAACGTCCCAATTTCTCTGGAAAATGCCGAGCAATTGAACACACAGACAAACTAAGTACATATGCAAAAATCATATAAAATTTTAAGCTAGCTAAAGTAAATGTGCTAATTAGAAAAACCTCTAAGTTACCCAAGTATAACCAGAGGCAGCTCTAGGAATTTAAGTTAGTTACAGACTAAAATTGTACCCACAATATGGTAAGCAAGAAATCTGTCACCTACACGCCAACTGCAAGTTCCCTCAATTCTTTCTTTTTTTGTCACGATCGAAATGAAAGGTGTTTCTCCGGGCCTATCTTTTGCTCCCAGAGATACCGGTTTAAGTCCAACTCATGAAAGAGTTTAAGTATCTATATATCAAAATCTGATAACGTATAATAAGTGCAAAGAATGTAGAACTATAGAAGCAAATAAATGGACTTATTCATCTCCTAAACGAGAAAAATATGTATGATAATAAACTTTATTATTCTCTGAGGCAATGGATTTTGAATATTTCAAAATTCAAGGGCATTAAAAGCAAATGTGGGTAATAGAATAACCCTCTAATACCCAAGTACAACAAGCAGCTTTAGGATTATAAATTAGTTGCCTAGTAACACTACACCCACAACTTTTTCGAGGAAATGAATTTCGACTTAGTAAACATCTATATTTTTGAAAAAATTCAATTCCACAAACACTTTTTTGAAAATTTTTGAACTCCACACATACGCATAATGGTGTCAGGTGTGCTCCTACATCCAGAAGCGGACCTAGTGCATTAGTTATGGGTTAGTCCAACTCAACAACTTTGGTTCAAACTTTATATATGTGTGAAAACAATCCACTAAATTAGTATAAAAATTAGATCAAATCTTGGATCCGCCTGTGCCAACATCCTAAACAACCTGAATAAATATTCACACAAAAAGAAACTCAACAATCAAATAGTCATGGATCAAACCAGTAAGACAACCACAAATCCCGTGGCTAAATTCAACCATAACTAAAACATTAAAATCCAAATTACAGCAAATCCGATCCATCATCCATTAACTAAACCAGAACCTAGGGTTTTCACCACGCACAGCACATAAATACTCAGATCAACAAGACAAAACAGATCAGCACAAAATAAAATAACACTTCCATCAGTAGATAAAATCAAAATTCTTCTCGTAATTCGTTGAATTACTATTACAAAATAGCAAAAATAAAATAAAATAAAAAATAACAGAAATCAGAAAAAAGTAAAGACTTGCCATGGTGAATCGAGAAGATCGAAAGGATCTGAACAAAAGATATTTTTGTGTTTTTTTCTTTTTTGTGTAAAGAGAGAGGGTTGAGACTAGAGAAGACTTGAGAGATATAACAAAGGGGAAATTGTCTGAGAATTTTCCGAATTTTCAACCCTTGGTATTCGGTGGATACCACCCACCCCCTACTAAATATCATGATGGCGGTCATACTTTGAAGCTACAGATGGTCGGGCTAATAGTAAGATGACACGTGGTAATGTCGGAATGCCAGAAATACCCCTTTAGAATCAGTTGCTTGTCCAAATTGTGTTCCTCTTAGGCGGAATTAATGGTGTTCATGAAAAAACAAATTGAAAACCTAATCAAATCCACACAAAAAATCAACAATATTTTAGTTTGATTTTATTTTAGTTATGAATTTTAAAAATAGATTAAATTTAGTTTCGATTTAGTTGTTGTTGTTTTAGTATTAGATTTAGTTTGGTTTTAATTTTACAACAAACAAAATCGAAAAAAATCGAAGCAAAAAAATACTTATTTAAAACTTTATTATTATACATATACATATGTATATTTTCATATAAAGTTTTAAGAATTTTATGGTAGATATTTAATTGTTTGCATTTTTAGTTGGTAGTTTAGTTCTTTGCCATTATAATAATCAAGTTTTTTATCTTTATATTCTAGTTTGATGATAGTTTATTTTGCTAATTCCAATAATCTATTTCATGTTAAAAATAAATTATCTTTAATTGAGTCCTTAAATTACTCATCACTATTTATTTCAATTGCATATTATCAATATATCTTGGTAAATGGTAATTTTTCTTATAGCCTGTTTGGAAGCCACCTAAGAATTGGATTTTGGTGTAATTGGGTGTAATTACATAGCTTGGCATGTTTGTCTGACCAAATAATTACTTGGTCACCACGTAATTTAGTGTAATTGGAGAGGTATAATTACACTCGACAATTCTCAAGGGGGGTGAGAATTTATGGTAATTATACTTTGTAATTACAAGGTTACTTTATAATTTCTTTTCTTTTTATTTTTATTTTAATTTATTTTCTTTATAACTTTTTATTTCATTATTTTAATGTTTTACTTTTAAATTTCTTTCCTTTTTGTTTTTATTTTAATTTATTTTCTTTATAAGTTTTTATTTCCATTATTTTAATTTCTTACTTTTAAATTTCTTTCCTTTTTGTTTTTATTTTAATTTATTTTCTTTATAAGTTTTTATTTCCATTATTTTAATTTCTTACTTTTAAATTTCTTTTTTAATTTAAAATATGTTTTTCATTGTACATTATTTATCTTTTATTTCTCTACCTTTACTCCTTGTGATTCCATGTAATTACTCGTATATTTTATTTCTTATTTATTTTATTTTATTCATTTAGTGTAACTGCGTTATTATTCTAGTTTTTGAAATTACACCTCCTAATATTAGAAATAATGAGTCAATAACAAACTTGGCATATAATGAGTGATACTAAAGTAAAATTTCGTTGTTGAATGAGGTTATAAACTTATTATGTTTCCTTTGTATTGGAACTTATTTTTATTATATTGGAATTTGATATATGTTAAACTATTTTATTTTATTTTTTGGATTTTGAAATTGTATTGGCGGGCAGTCTAGAGTTTCGTCCAGGCATCCTAGTAATATTAGTACTAGTCTTGTATTTTGCTATGACTAGCCCCTTGCTATTTCACATTGTGTCATTATTTTTAGCAAGACTGAATCTATTTTCATAGTGTCGTATTCTTAGATATATGTTGTTGCACGTATCTCCATTTGTGCACATGTCTAATTATCTGGTTATTGGTATTGTCTATTTATTACTTTATTTTTACTTCTTTTGAGCCGAGGGTCTTTTGAAAATAACATCTCTACCTTCATTAGGTAGGGGGTAAGGTCTGCATACACTTTACCTTCCCCAAACCCCACTTGTGAGATTTTACTAGGCTTGTTGTTGTTATTGTTATTGTTGTTGATTTTAAAATTGTGTTACATTTTGTGGTTTCAATTTACTTGTTTTAGTAGTATTGACTTGTTATTTCACATTGCATGTTGTTTATTTTTAGTTAGAATTGTCAGATTAGATTTGTCAAATATTTGAATAATATTCTGACATTATATTAATTAATATTAATTCATTTTATCAAACATGCATTTCATGATGTTCTTACAAAATGTATGTTTTTAGTTTTTATAATTAATTATACTAAATATTATTAATTTGGAAAATATATATATATTATTTTTATAATATTAGTTATAAATATATGATTACTAATAAATTTATATTCCAAAAAAAATATGCATCTTAAATACCAAATCTAATGTCATTTATACTTTTAAAAAATTATTTATATGAATATATTTATTATATTAACTTTTAAGTTTTGATAATTATTTCATTTAAATTTTAATCTAACCGTGTAATTACACTTGTGCATCAAATAGTATGCTTGTAATTATACTGTAATTACGTTATGACAAACAAACAGGTCGTCATAATTATTATGTTATGTAATTACTAGGCTGTGTAATTACTACCCTAGTAATGACATCAAATGCAATTACCAGGTGGCTTTCCAAACAGACCCTTAAAGAATAATTGATTTAATAGTGTTGTATTAGAATATAGTCGGCGGAATATGTGCTTGGAAAATGTCTCATATTTACGAAGAAAATAACCAACAAAAAATCGAAATAACCGAAAAACTTACTAAAACTAGTATAAACTCAACCTATAAAAATCATCAAATAGGCTCAGAGGTAAAGGCACAGTAAATCCGGAATTTAGATATGCTTTTCAGACAAGGGATAAGATAAGATACAATTTCAGTATCCGAATTCTTTTCATAATCGTGATATGAGCCATTCAACGATCATATAGAATATATGTCACGATCCCAAATTTCCTCCGTAAAATGTCGTGACGCCACCTAATCTCTAAAACTAGGTAAGCCTAACAATATGCGAAAATATTAGATAAAACTTAGAATCTAAAAACTGCAACAATTTCATAAATAGAATATATAAACACAATGCATACAACTCCCCAAAACCTGGTGAAATGTAAGTCACAAGCTCTAGATACAATGATGGACAAATCCTATACATCATTGTCTATAAAAGTATAAAGAAATAAGGAAGAACATGATAGAAGGGGACTCCGAGGCCTGCGGACGCGGGCAAGTGTACCTTGAAGTCTCCAATAGCAAGCTCAGCGTGCTAGTGCTGGGACTGATAAGATGTGCCTGGATCTGCACAAAAACATGTGCAGAAGCGTAGTATGAGTACACCACAACGGTACCCAGTAAGTGCCAAGCCTAACATCGGTAGAGTAGTGATGAGGTCAGGTCAAGGCCCTATTGGAGATAATAAGAAACAAGACCGAAGATATAATGATATAATGATAATGATAAAAGAAGTGAAACAATAAAGAATTTACGGAAAGTTAACAACACAGAATCAAGGTAGTTAATACAACACGAAAGGAAAAATAAGGATTTTACATGTTAAGGAAACAACAACCAAACAAATATAGCAAATAGAGAAGATCAACAGGGGGGCATACCGAGGTACCGTCTCGTAGTCCCAAATCATAAAAGTAACTCATAGTCTTTCCTTATATTACCACGGGAGCCTTTACATTTAGTTTTGAAAATTATTTTTTCCGAAATAGCACCCCCGCGTTTTAGCCCACCTTATCATACCGCATGGCTTCTAGTAGTTCCCTTACTAGCCACACGTATCAAGCCCACCTTATCTCACCGCATGCGTTTCAACACTCAGATCTTATACCACCGCATGCGTATCAATAGTAACAACAGCACGGCAGAAACCTCGTACAAATAGTGACAAACAGCACGGTAGAAACCTCGTTCAAACAACCAAGAAATCCTCTCACCAATAACACAAATGCCCAAATATAATAACTCAATAAAATGATATTTCACAACTTACACTTTGCCTCAATAGAAACCACGACCTTTGCAACTCAACACCAAACTCAACAGCAAGATATTTCAAGGATAACAAATTTCAAGTAAAGAATCCCACAGTTAAATAATAAATACGAAATTAAGAAAGTAAGCAACTCAACTAGACATGTAGTACAAGTTGCAAATAAGAAATAAGACAAGTAGACATGTGAAATTAGATTAAACACGGTGACTATAACATGCTAAAGTAACTCAATTAAAGCATGGAAGGAAACTACGTAGCTAAAAATCAAAAATTTCATATTTAACCTGTGTACGCACTCGTCACCTTGTGTACACGGCTTTCACATATCACAGTTATCATAACAATACCAAATCCTAAGGAAAATTTCTTTCACAAAAGGTTAGACAAGTCACTTACCTCAAACCACGCTAAACCAATCAACTAGAATGACTTTTCCTCAATTTTCCAACTCTGAACGGCTCGAATCTAGCCAAAATAATTTCATCATACTATAAATATAACTATAGAAAATTAATTTAAATGATGAAATTATGATCTTAGCAAAGAATTAAAAAATCGCCCCAAAAAGTCAACCCGGGCTTGCGTCTCGGAACCCGACCAAAATTATAAAAACCGAACACTCATTCGATATCGAGTCCAACCATATAAGAATTTTTCAAATCCGATCTCATTTCGCCTTTCAAAACTCAAAAATTTAGCCTAAGAAGTTCTATCACTTTTCCCCAATTTTTTCAACCCAAATCCTTAATTACATGATAAAATCAATGATAGATTAGTGAAATTTAATCAAAATCGAGTTAAGAACTCTTATCCCAACAATCCCTCTGAAAATCCCTCGAATTTTCACCTCAAACCGAGCTCTATAAGTCCAAAATGTGAAATATGGAATAAACCCTTGATTTCAAACTTAAGTTCTACTTCCTAGTTATTCCTTCTTCGCGAACGCAGAAAACGCCTCGCGTTCGCGAAGCACAAAAATGTTGCTGCCAAAAACAACACTCCACGATCGCAAAAAACCTCATGCGAACGCGTAACACTGCCTCATCAAGCTACGCGATCGCGTAACACACCACGCGACCGCGATGAAGAAAAGCGCGTGAACCTGTAGCCCCCCAATTCTTCTACGTGAACGCGACCTTCACCACGCGTTCGCGTTTCACTGGGAACCAACCTT